TTGATGAAGTCCCGCTTGTTTATTTTTGCTTTTGTTGCTTTTCCTTTTGGTGCCACATTCAAAAGATCATCGCCAACACTTATATCAAGGAGCTGACGGCCTATGTTTTCTTCTAGGAATTTTATAGTCTCAAGTCTTACATTCAAGTCTTTAATCCATTTTGAGTAAATTTTTCTGTATGGTATAAGATAGTGGTCAAGTTTTATTCTTTTGCATGCGGCTGTCCAATTTGCCCAACACCATTTATTGAAGAGACTGTCCTTTCCTCATTGTAGATTCTTGGCTCCTTTGTTATAAATTAATTGACCTTATACATATGGGTTTATTTCTGGGGTCTCTATTCTGTTTCATTGATCTGTGTTTGTTTTTATGCCAATACCATACTGTTTTAACTACCATAGCTTTGTAATATAGTTGGAAATCAGGCAGTGTGATATCTCTAGCTTCGTTCTTCTTTCTGGACCAGGCAATTTTATTTCCAGGACTTTATTTGAAGGAGAGGGACATTCATGGAGCTTTATTGACAAGGATTTAGAACAACTTGAATGTCCAACGACAGTAACTAGGAAGCTAAATGGTGGTACATGCACATCATGGACTACTCTCCTGCCATTAAAATTATGTTATGGAAGCATATTTAACAACATGGGGAAATGTGCATACTGTTTAGTAACAAGAGAAAAGCCAGTCACAAAACCTTATTTACAGTATAAGTGGAATTAGGTTTCTAATTTTTATTTGCATAAAAATGACTGGAAGGATTTGCATTGAAATGTTAAATTATGCCTGGGTGGAGATATTGGGAGTCATTTTTATTCTCTTCTTTAAACTCTCAATATTTTTCCATGTTTTCTCTAATCGAACTATATTATTTTTGCAATAGAAAACAAGCAACATATGGAAATCAGGGTAAATAATAAGAGCCAACAGTGCTTTTACGCTTGCTCTGAGCCAAGAACCATCCCTTAAAAATGTATCGGCAAAAGTTAACCTCCATTTGCAAGAGCAAGACAAGAAGAGACCATGCACCAGACTTTCTGGAAGTTTACAGTGAAGGCCAAGCAATCTTATCTCACATGAAGAACACTGCAAGAAGGAGAACCCGGCAGTCCATGGTCAAGGGCAGGGGGTGGGGGTAGTGTTAGAAAGAATTCCCAGGAAAGCTCCCCTCTCAGTTGGATGGCTTGAGAAGCATGTAGGACGAGGAGAGAAAAGTGAGCACATCAGAAACGAGGGGCTGTGGGGCCCAGTGAGGGCACAAGGCACTCACTCCAGAAACACCTCTGAGAGTTTCTACTTAATATTCCAACCCAAACATATCTGCCCACACAATTGTTCATTGTGTTGTTTTTGTCCTTGTTTGCCACGTAACAACTTTTACCGCGAGGTGGAGGGCCTGGAGAACGGCACCCCAGGAGGCTGGAGCCACAGGCCTGGCCCTGGTCTTGCCCAGGAAGGACAGTGAGCCAAGCCTCCACATGCGTCCCCCAGCCTGGGGCGGACATGCTCCAACCCAAACAAGCCAGTCTGCTTTCAAGTCATGTACGTGGGGTTACCTCACCTTAACCCCCTCAGCGTATTCCCCTGGAAGCCGGAGTGGAGCATTCTAGAAGGTACGGTCACCGCTTCCTAAGGTTTTGAATCTTCCTGTCAGAATACCGTGGCCCTGCTCAGAGGCCGAGGAAGCATGAGGACCAGGAAGCTCTGAGGCAGAACAGCACAGCAAGGGAGGCTCAGCTTGGCCGTGAGGTCAGAACCACTTCCAGGTGACAGATCAGAGAGGGTGTGCGGGAGTGAGCACAAGACAGACAGAGCCACAGAGACAGAGAGGAAGGAGGAAGAAGGACAGAGACCGTGAGTGCAAGGAAGGGGAGAGGGAAGGGAAGAGCAAAGGGGAGGAACAGGAGATGGAAGAGGAGAAGAGAGAGGGATTTCTGAAAAGAGACAGGGACAGGAGGAAAGGAGGAAGAGAAAGAGGAGACAGGAGGTAGAGGGGAGGAGAAAAAGCGGGGAAGAGATTTTTATTCCCAGGGAAGTCTTACAAACCACCTCAGGCTTTTGGAACAAGTACCCATACAAATGTTCTAGAAGGAACCCAGCCTCACCCAAGGAAAGCAGATTCACATTAAATAATGAACTAGATGACCACACTCACTTGAATGCAGGAAGCTTTTATCTCATTGGCAGAGAGTCATTACTGCCAAGAGATTTAGTGTATGACTCCAGAATACCCCGTGACATAAAAATTAAAAGGACGTATATAAGATCTTAGGCTTCAGAGCCAACTGATATTCAGAGTGGATTACCTCCCCAGCCTTGGGCCATCTGATGTAGTTTTCTGTTTTCCATGCCAAAACACATATTTATACTAACAGTCATTTGTTTTCTTGAATTAATTTGCTTAAGGAGAAAAAGTGCACAACATTGCAGATCATACATCATTCTGTGTTTAGAACGTTACAATAAACAAACTCCAAAGACAAAGTTGGGCTGTTTAAAGACTGCTCACGTAAATGATTCACTTTAACATGTCCCCATGCATAGAGGATTTTAAAAATACCTTTTCACAACTGAGTTTTATCCCCTCAAAAAGTTTATCAAACATAGTTAAAATGGCCATACTACCCAAAGCAATCTACAGATTCAATGCAATCCCAATCAGAATCCCAATGACATTCTTCACGGAAATAGAACAAAGAATCCCAAAATTTATATGGGGCAGCAAAAGACCCCAAATAGCTAAAGCAATTCTGAGAAACAAGAACAAAGCTGGAGGCATCACAATCCCTGATTCCAAAATGTACTACAAAGCCACAGCGATCAAAACAGCATGGTACTGGTACAAAAACAGGCACACAGATCAATGGAACAGAATTAAAGCCCAGAAATAAAACCACACATCTATGGACAGCTAATCTTTGACGAAGGAGCTAAGAATGGACAAAGGAAAGTCTCTTCAGCAAATGGTGTTGGGAAAACTGGACAGCCACATGCAAATGAATGAAAGTATCTCTTGCCCTATACAAAAATTAACTCAAAATGGACTAAAGACTTGGAGGTTAGACGTGAAACCATAAAACTCCTGGAAGAAAATACAGGCAGTACACTCTTTGACCTCAGTCTTAGAAGGATCTTTTTGAATACCAGGTCTACTCGGGCAAGGGAAACAAAAGAAAAAATAATCAAATGGGACTTCATCAGACTAAAGAGCTTCTGCAAGGCAAAGGAAACCAAGAACAAAACAAAAAGACAACCCACCAACTGGGAGAAAATATTTGCAAATCATATATCCGACAAGGGGTTAATCTCCAAAATATATAAAGAACTCACACAACTCAACAACAAAAAAACAATCCAATCATAAAATGGGCAGAGGAGATGAACAGACATTTTTCCAAAGAAGATATACAGATGGCCAACAGGCACATGAAAAGCTGTTCAACATCACTAATCATCAGAGAAACGCAAATCAAAACTACACTGAGATATCACCTTGCACCTGTTAGAATGGCTACAAACACCAAGACAAAAAATAACAAATGTTGGAGAGGGTGTGGAGAAAAGGGAACCCTCATACACTGCTGGTGGGAATGCAAACTGGTGCAGCCACTATGGAAAACAGTATGGAGATTTCTCAAAAAATTAAAAATAGAAATACCATACAATCCAGCTATCCCACTACTGGGTATTTATCCAAAGAACTTGAAATCAACAATTCAAAGAGATTCATGTACCCCTATGTTCATCGCAGCATTATTCACAATAGCCAAGATGTGGAAGCAACCCAAGTGACCATCGACTGATGATTGGATAAAGAAGATATCGTATATATATACAAGGGAATACTACTCAGCCATAAAAAAGACAAAATCTTCCCATTTGCAACAACATGGATGGAACTTGAGGGTATTATGTTAAGCAAGACAAGCCAGACAGAGAAAGACAAATACTTAACTCAAACAGTATCATTTCACTCATATGCAGAAGATAAACATGGACAAACAGAACAGTTTAGTGATCACCAGAGGGAGAAGGGGGTTGGCAGAGTGGCCAAAAGGGGTAAAGGGACGTATACATACAGTTATAGACAAATAATGTACAAGAGAAATTTCACATTATAAACTATTTTAATGACCTCAATAAATAAAATTTTTTAAAAAGCTTATCAAAACAACATCAATAATGCCTTTAATATTGTATTACATGTATATGATAAAATTAGATTCTTTTTCATACTTGGGACCATCAGCTTAACTTTGTGATCCTCTTGATCTTGTACCTAACCAAATTCAAGTCCAAAGCAAAAAGGGGCAATTTTAGCGCACAATAGAAAGTCTCATTAAAATTGTGAGAGGCATCTTCTCGAATAGAACTTTTGTGATAAAAAATAAGCCTCACATAGGACACGTGGTAGCCAAGATGTTCCACAACGCAGCCCACACCTCGTGTCTGTCTCCAGGAAAGCAGGGAAGGTTACCTCTGATCCTTTGCCCACTTTCGGATGAATTTCTCAGTGAGCTGCTGCCTGAGGCTGGGATCAGCTCCTCTGGGCAATGGATCAGAGCCACCAGCCTGGCCTGCCACGAAGTGTGGCAGCTGCCAACAGGACCTCCCAGGGTGTGCCTCCTCCCATGGGTGCCCAGCGCCCCACGGCCAAAGTAAGCAAGGCTGGGCAGGCCTGAGATGGAGGTGATGCACACAGCCAGTGCAATCTTTCAGACGTGAATTCAGAGGTTTTGCCCAGAGGGCGGGCCGGGTGGCGTGGGGTCAGCACTTGCTCCTTTCTCTCTCTGCTTCTGCTTCTACAAGTCAGCTCCAGCGTCCACGTAACGATCTATCCCCATGCCTACAGCCTGGTTGATACGATGGTGGCCCACAGGGGCCAAGAAGATGCGCTCCAGCCCAGCAGAGCTACGCTGGGGGCCCCTGCCTGGCAGACTGGAGAGAGGACCACTGACCTGTCCCCCTACACGTCTCCCAGAGAACAGAAGCAGTCTTACCTCTCATTTCCGTTGCTGAGGAGCCGTTGGACCAGGCCGTCCATTTATTCCTGTGCTTGCTGATTTCCTGGACTTTGCAGACGTAATGCCCTTGATCCGCTGGCCCGAGGGTCAGGACGGAGAGCGTGTAGAGGGCCCCGCGCCTCTCCTCCAGGAGGCGCAGCCTCCGCCGGTAGGCGCTGCGGCTGTAATTGCCGTAGTACTGCACCACCCGGAGCTTGGTCATCTTCACCATCAGGGCCTCCTGCGAGTCGGGGCGCGCGAAGAACCAGCGCACCGCCAGCAAGCTGTCCTTCCGCCTCTTCTGGGAGACGTGGCAGAGAAGGGTGGCATTTTCCCCCTCCAGGTAGTCAACCACAGGCCCTGGGGACACAGTGACATTGAGGGCCCCGCAGACCTCTGCGGAGAAAAAAGGAAGGAGGAAAATGAGGAAGGCCACTGCATTTCCCCAGGTGGACACGTGTTTTCCCCAAGGAGGCAGGGGCCCCACCCCCTCCGTGCTCACTGTCTGCCTTCTGGATGGCCAGAAGGACGGCTCCTTCTTGGGGGAGCCTCTGTGGGCTCCATGACCTCCTCTATGAGATTATCCTGTCCATGTGGGTTGCCATGGACCATCTGGCCCAGATATATTGTTTAGAATTTTGTAATTAGTTGCTGACGTTTAAAATTCAGGAGATTTCACATAAAGATTTGGATTTTAATTATTATTAAAAATTTCCAGCACATATCTATCCCTCCCACCTGCCTCCCCAGGTCTCCTTCTATTAGTTCCATCACCTGCCTGAGTGGGCAGCGCTGTGGGTCTGGGGGCTGCCTGTCTGAGCCCCTCGCCCTGTCTGAGCCATTTCAACCGCAACCAAGGCAGATGCCCGGTACTGGTCAGGCAGGTGTTAAACTAGTGCCAGGGAGCTGAAACCACAGGCATTTCTCAGTTTCTTGCTCTAAGTCTCTTTGGACTCACGATCCACGGTCTCAGAGTTAAAGAGCAGGAGTAAAGAATGAATGAGCCCAGGAAGGGAGGGGTGAAAGAACCCACCAGCAGCCCAAAAGATGCTCCAGGGTTCCAGGCCCGGTCCGCTACTTCCTGTCCTTTGGTTTCTTAGTTAGATCCACCCCAAGGGCTGCCCCTCCCCAAGTGCCATTCCGCCCCAAGCCGACCTTGGAAGGAGCCACCCCAATGCCCACGCAGACCAACCAGGCCAGCAGATTTCACAGAGGCTGAGCGCTTTACCTTCACCAGGGGACGCGCTGCCTGGTGTCTGCAGGGACTGTGCAGAGTGGCTGTGCTGCCCTGGAGCTCACTTGTGGAGCCACCCCCTGGCAGGTGGAGTCCAGAAAGGACACTTTGTAGGTAGGATGCTCAGAGCCTCCTTCTGCCCAAGCAGGGCCACCTTCTCATCAGGTCCCACATCCTCACCCCGACGCTGCCCAGGGCACAACTCCAGTAGGCACCATTCCCTGCCCACCCCACTGCATAAACAGGTGTCCCCAGGGTCATCCTGAACCACAAATGTCCCCAAATGTCACCTTCTGGTCACATGAAGGGACTTGGGCCCTGAGGTCAGAGTCACCAAAAGCTTTGAACCCTGGTCAATGCTTCAGGTAAGCAATGAGGAATGATGAAAAAGAGGTCAAAGATTTGAACTTCCCACGGTAAAGAGACTGTGAGTCAACAAGGTAAGGCCCTGGCGCGAGGGAAAAGGGGAGCACATATAAAATAGTCTCCATTATAAAAATCCAGGCAATAAGTTCATCCCGTTGTATGGTTTCCATTATAGATCAATAAACTGAACACCTGGAGAGAGATGACTTCAGGACCAATTTTCTTTGTTTCTTTCTCATCTCTTAGAAGCCAGGCCCCCCAGGAGACTCCAGGATACTCCAGACCTTTAACTTAATCATATCCATAAAATGCCTTTTGCCATATAAGGTGACATTCACAGGCTCCAGGGCATAGAACACAGACATCCTTGGGGGCCATTATTCAGCCAACCATGGGGGTCTTTCCTCATCTTAAAAAAATGGAAGTAAATGCAGAAGAAAAAGGTTGATGCTTGGCTGGTCTCTAAGCAGCTTTTGAACAAGAATGAGAATGAGAATGGTCTTCTCTGTCCACGGTGACAAGAGACAAAGCCAGCCCAGGAAGATACTCGAGAATGCAGACCAACAGGTAACCGAGGAAGCACGTGCTCTCTGCTAACAATCTCCCTGTCCACACAAGTCACTCACGAGGGACAAAGGAAGAGGAACTACCCCCCATCTCCTGTGCATCTTGCCCACCTGACCCACACCTTGCCCGTGCGCCACATTAAATCAGTCGAGAGCATTTCCCTAAGGCCCTGTCTAAGGTCCACATGGGCCCCCATGGCGGGACCTCCCTGGTGAGCAGCGACACAGCCCGGAACACCAGGCTGACCCCACTCCGACAGCTGCCCAGGGGTTCAGCAGGCGGAGAGCAGCAGAGAGGCAGCAGCTGGCTTCCAGAATTGAAGTCCAGCTCCACCCACCCCCAAGGGCTCCCCATTGGAGTCAAGGAGAGCTGGGGAAGGCAGGAAATTGAAACAATATGGGTGGGATGAGAGCGCAGCGCCGGGACCCCACACTCCAGTCTCCTCCTATTAACGCCGCTTGAAGGACGGATTATTTATAGTGACTGAAACCAGGAGACCCTGCCAAGTGCTCTGGTCCCCATGGGAGGCCAGATTCCATCCGAGCGGCAAACGAGTAACCCTTCCACTTCTGCAGCTCAGGCCAGGAGTCAGCAGCTCCCATGAAAGGGGACGGACTGAACCGTCTTCCCAACATGAGCTCTCCTGTCTTTTTACTAGGGCGCCTCTCCGCCTTCCTTCAGCCCCACATTCTCTTACCAAGGGCTCCAGCAGGTTTCTTCCACTGAAGTGCAAAGGCTCTTGTGATGGGCTTAATTCTGTCACCCCCAAATCCATATGTTGAAGCCCAGACCCCTGGGACTCAGAATGTGACTGTATTTAGAGATAGTGCCTTCAAAGAGGTGACTAAGTTAAAATGAGGCCATAAGGATGGATCCTAAGCCAATATGACTGGTGTCCTTATAAGAAGAGATCAGGACACAGACACACAGAGGGATGACCATGTGAGGACACAGGGAGGAGACGGCCATCTACAAACCAAGGAGAGGACCCAGAAGAAACCAACCCGGTTGACACCTTGATCTCAGACTTCCGGCCTCCAGGACTGTGAGAAATAAATTTCTGTTCTTTAAGCCATCCAGTCTGTGGCACTTCGTTACGACAACTCTAGCAAAGCGATTCAACCTTGTTCACAGGAAGGCTCATTTCGGCCCTACATCTGCCACCGACCCAGATGTTGACACCCACTTTCAACACGAGGGTTTGAAATGGCGATGCTCAAGGGCCCCTCAGAATCTTAAAGCTCTGCTAGCAGACACAGGCTCTCAGGTCGTGGGGGTCCCCCTCGTGCTTGCGATAGGCTTTCTCAGGAAGCCAGGTTTCCCGGTAACGCCTGCCCCTGACACTGAAGATGGCTACCTTAGACCTAGCAAACGCAACTCATATGGGTGCAGCCGTGAGAAGTGGCATCGCCAGAGGGAGCAGAGAAAACACAGGGAGAGGACCCAGAGCCTGGCCAATGTTAGCTGAGCTGGATGTTTAATTACACACTGGGAGAGACCATCACTCTGCTTCTGCCCACTGCAGTCATCAGACCCCCTACGGCTCAGTAGAGAAAATAGCAATGGGGTCAGGACGGCGGAAGCCAGGACTACACCAGCATTTGGAGGCAGGTGCCCTGAGGGCAGTGTCTGTGGGAGTCCAGGCCTTCCCTTCTGCATCTCAGTCAGTCTGAACGACCCAGCACACACCCTGCAGGGCAGCGGGGCAAGCTGGGCACCCAGGGGCCAAGCCAGACACAAGACAGGGGAGGGTGGGCGTCAGGAGACCCTCCTACACCAGGAGCAGCCCCAGGAAGGGCAGAGTCGCCCCTCTCCTGGCCTACAAGGGAGACTTGTTGAAGTCACCCTGGCCCAGAGAAGAAGTTAATTTCTTGCCTTGCCACCCAGAGTTCCTGCTTCCTCCAGTCTGTGTCCAGCTTAGCTTTGATCACTTAATCACTCAACAGATAATTTCTGAGCAACAGCCATGTGCTGGCACAGTGTGAAGATGGCACTCCTAACCTCGTGGAGCTCTGAGTCCAGTGCACAAGGCAGCCAGTCATCAGGAAAAAGACACAGGAGTAAGGGACTACAAACAGTGCCACATGCTACAGAGAAAAGGTGCAGGGTGTATGAAAATCAGGGCAGGATCCTGATCTAGTCTGCGGGGTCAGGGAGGAAAGAAACACCATGAGCTGAAGGCTGAGCTAGAGTTAATGAAATAAAATTCAGGGCAGAAGCAAGGAATGATGCTCCTGGGAGAGGGTCCCACCTATGCAAAGAGCCTGAGGCAGGAGGCACCTGGTGGAGGCTGGAAATAGAACAATGCACCGTGGCCCAGGCAGCCACCCACCCGGGTCTGCAGATGGAGCATAGGAGGGGACCTTCCACCTCAGTCAGGACCTCGAAGACCAATTTTTAAAGGAGGAATATGACAACATGGGCAGGGAAGAGATGGACCCAACAGAGGGGCGGGACCCCTGCTCTGGGAACCTTATTTCTTGCACCAGCACATGCTCTGGTACTTGGTAGCCCCAGCTGTCCCGTGTGGGCTGGGCACCGGGACGCCCTGCCTTCCAGTGGCTTGGGGGGGCTGGGCGGAGAGCCAGGGGTTGGCCTTTGACAAAACTGGGTTGGAAACCTGCTTCTGTTAGGTGTGAGGCGCTCAGAGCCTCAGTTTCCTCATCTGAAAAATGGGAAGATGATGACTTGTGTGGTGAGTGTAAGCCTCCAATGAGAAAACACCCTTAAAATACTCATAAAAAGGTGTGCATGCCTGAGAGCCGGGCAGGTGGGGCAGCAGAAAGTGACACACATGCCACCTGTGAGCAGGGGGTGGCTTCTTGGGGGCCTGATCTGCAGTCACATGGCCCTACACTCGGAGAGGCCCCCCACTTGGTTTCACTTCTGCTGCCACTCCCTTGAAATTTTAATCATTTTTGAATAAGGGGCCCCACGTTTCATTTTGCACTGGGTTCCACAAATTAGATAGCTGGTTCGGCCTGTGAGTGAACATTATATTCCTGTGGGTAAGATTTATGGGGTCTAACCCTCTTGTTCCCATCTGGATAATGTCATGAAAGGGACTAACACAGCTCTGAAAACAGCCTAAAATCCGTGTAGCTGGATAGTACACATCCTACTCATCTAATCCATGACCTCTCCTTCGAGTACCCTTCGTGAGGGCGAGGATGAAACTTCCAGGTGCAGGAGAGTACAGAACGTCTAAGAGACACAAGACACCTGCCTTGCCTGAGATGCAGAGGTGGGCATGGCCGGGCTCCCTCTGTCCCGCCCTGGCCGGTGATGTGCTAGTGGCTCTGTGCCCCAGACTCCCTCTCTGTCCCGAGGAAACTGCCCCCACTCACTTCAGGGAGCCAGAAGCCTCTACATTTATAAGAAATGTAAATTGTCTGTGCCATTTTGCAGCGACAATCTCATTTCATTAAAAGGAGAGTCCGAATTCATGACAAATAAATCTCTGAAAGAAACACAATTGTCTTACTTAAAAACCAATGGCACAGGAGCCAGCATTTTCTGAGCACCAAGCAGAGGTGAACCCAGACCTAGCCCGTAGGGTGATGCATTCCTGTTAAGCCCATCACGCATCCAGGACAAACACGCAGGCTCGGCCAACGATAAAGGCGAACATTTGCTGGGCGTGAGCCCTGTGCCATGCACTGCTCAAGATACTTGAGATGTATTTTCTCAGTTTATCTTCACACTATGTTTATCCCCATTTTACAGACCAGAGAAGTGAGACAGAGAGCCTAAGCCACTTCTTCCGGCTCATTCAGAACCTATAGGCTGGAATCGGAACCTAGAGGCGACCTGGCTTCAAAGTCAACCATCGACCACCACTCGGGACCACAGCTTGTCTTTTATGAACTATTTTGACCCTCAGTTTCCCTTTCTGTAAAATGAGAGGTGGAACCATGTGACTGCTAAGGTTGTGCTCGGCTCCAAAATAAAGGGGTAGAAAAGTGTAGGGGTTGAATCCAGGTTTATGGATAAAGCGCCTCTCCCAGGCCCTCCCCTGGGGAATCATGACAAGGAATCGTGGGCGAAATGCTTAGAAGAGTGGGTGGCACATGGTGAGTCCTGCACAAGCAGAAGCTGTCATCATTATCCAAGGAGTGACCTTGGGCACAGCCAGGCCAGACAATAAAGGACCCCGAACTCCAGCTCTCGAGGCTTCTAAGTTCTCCTGCAAATACAAGAATGTCCTCGAACCCCAAGAAGCCACTCTTGTGGGGGGGGGGTGCCCTCTCTGGCAGCACCTGCGATTAGGAAGGTGGTCCTGGAGCCTGGGGGAGGAAGACCCCTGTGCCCCAGGCATCCTGATGGCTGCTGGCTACTCCACGAAGGCCACCAGAGCTGGCCTGGCCCAACCATCCCAGTTAAACCTCCAGTCGTTGTCAGCCAAGCCGGTGACAACTGAGAAAGGAACATGTCCCACACCGATTTCAGGGTCCCTGGAAGCCCCACCACACTGGTAGCCGGGGAACAATGGGTGAATTTCTTCCCACTGTGATTCAAGTCACTCCTCCTCACACTCGGCCCTCTGCTGGCTCAAATGCCAGCTCCACCACTCGGTCGCTGGGTCACCCTCAGAAAATTACTTAACTTGGAGCAGCAGCTCCCTTACTGACAAAACAATGGCAACACAATTTAGCCAGTTGGAGCACAGAGTCCAGAGCCAGGCTTCCTGGGGTTCAAATCCCCACTCCACCACTCACAAGCCTTGTGACTCAAGGCAAGTCAATTCACCAGCCTGTGCCTCAGTTTCCTCATCTATAAAATGGGGGTAATAACATCACCTCCCTCAGAGGTTACTGGCAAGTTTGCATTAATGTTTGCAAAGCACCTGGACAGATAAATATTTGCTCCTGTCATTATGATTTTGAAGCGTTGTTGTGATTAAATGAGATAACACCGAGCACCGCACCTGGCACCCAGCGGGCACCCAGGAAACGGGAGAACCACTGCTATACTTATTACTATTATTCTAGCCAGCATGGCCCCTTCCAGCCCCGAGGCAGGCAGGTAGCCCCCTGGGGAATAAAGAGAGAAACTTCTTCAGCAACTAAGAAGGGAGAGCAGAAACCCCAAATGTAAGCCGGCAGCGTGAGCAGGGGCTGCCCCGGAGGCGGGGCGCTCTGTCAGGGCCCGGCTCCCCCAGCCGTGGGTACCCCCATCTCACGAGGCCTGGGCATCCCAAACGCCCACAAGCAAGGGGCAAGGCCAGTCCCTTCCGAGGGGCTCTCCGAAGAGAGTTCTAGAGAAGGTGCTGCCCAGGCAGACCTGCCAACAGTCGTCGGTCCTGACAGCTGGGGAGGAAAAAGAAAAGCAAGCGACCCCGGGGGCCGGCGCGCTCCCGCTGAAACCTTCACCCCCGCGGCCCGGCCTGGAAGAACGCGGGCTGTGTGCGCGCCCCCGCGGAGCCGGGAGCCCGGCAGCGGGGAAGCGCGCCCGCGCCCTCGGGAAGCCTGGGGCCGCCGCTGCGCTGCGCTCCGCTCCGCCCGGGGACGCGAGCCCCGCGCCCGCTGCGGCCGGGGAGGGGCGGCCCAAGGCGGCGGGCCTCCCGGCCAGGCCGAGCCCCGATCCCCGAGCCCGAGCCCCGGCGGCCCCGCGCCGCGGCCCCGCCCGCCCGCGGGGCCCCGGAGCCGCCCGGCCCGCGCGCTTACCCGGGGCCGGAGCCCGCGCCAGCAGCACGGCCGCCGCCAGCGCCACGAGCCGCATCTCCCCTCCGCCGCCGCCGGCGCTGGGACCCGGAGCCGCGCGCCGCCGCCCGGCCTCGCCGTCCGCCAGCCCGCCCCGCGCCCGCCCCGGCCCCGGCCCCGGCCCGCCCCTCGGCGGCCCGCCCCGCTGGGCCGGCGCGCTGGGTGCCTCGGGCCGCCCGGCAACAACGCGGCCCCGCGCCTGCGCTCCCTCGGCGAGCCCGGGGGTCCCACGTTCACCGGCCCCACTTTGCGGATGAGAAAACTGAGGCTCTGAGAGCTGATCTCTCAGACGCAGGACGCACAGAGCTGCAGTGGGACTGGCGGTCCCTCTGCATCGCTGACACAGTTGTTGCTGAGGGGAGGGCGCCTTGGAGCCTCGGGGTGCTTGTGGGGGCGGGCGGGGAACTACCAAAGGCAGCGGCTGCCCTTGACCTTAGGCTCACCTGGTGAATAGGGGACCTCCGGGGGTCGCTCTCGCCACAGGGACCTTTGAGAGCCAAGGAGCAGCTGAGCTTTGGGGGCGGGGGGAGGGGAGCGGATGGGGACCCTTGGAAAATTGACAGGGTCCGCACAGATAAGTCCAGAGCGTGTGGACACAACAGACAATAGTGATCACTTCGAGCGCCCTCAGCCACAGGCCTGGCCTAGGGACTTTGTACCATGTCACTAAGTCCTGCCACTGTGAGACCCTGGCACTGCTCCTTAATCTCCGTGTGCCTCAGTTTCCTGCATCTGTTCAATGGGGAAATGGGCGTGACCCTCAGGGAGTATTTAAGACGGAGTGAAACAGTTTCTGTTAAAGCGCTGCCCCTGACAGGGAATATCAGCCATCATTACCATTATTATTATAGACAAGGAAGCAGAGGCAGGGAGATAAAGGAGCTGACCCGGGTCACCCAGCCAGGGAGTGATGACAAGGCCGCTCAGCCCAGGTCACTCCCAGCCGATGCCTGGTCTCTTCGCCAAGGTTCTAAACTTGGGGTGTGAGCGTGATCGATGTGTTAGTCCAGGATCTCTAGAGCAAGAACAGTGTGTGTGAGGGCTGTTTCGTGTGTGTTTGTCAGGGGAGGTCTTTGTGGGGTTCCAGAAAAGGCGGGCCCTGCTTGGGGGTGGGTCCCTGGAGGAGGGAGAGAACAGGATCCATCTCCTTCCCCTAAGGGCAGGGAGGAGGGGTGCGGAAGACCTGGAGAGGGAGGTGGTGCCCACCAGTGGTGCACCCCAGGGCGTGTCCCAGAGGGACCGTCCACCCTCACAGCCCAGGCCAGTGGGTACAAGCCTTTTGATCTCTCCAAATCCCAGTCACTTCCTGGGGGCCCAGGGTCCCCAGAGGGCCCTTCTAGCTGGGAGGCTCATATAGAGTAGGGCCCTGCAGGGACTAGGCTGACCACCAAGGCAGCTGGACTGGAGGGAGTGGCCCCAGCCCTCACTAGGCTGGGGAAAGGACCTGAGGAGCTCATGGTGAACTGGCTGCAAGGTCCCTGGGTCTGATCTTGAAGACAGAACTGATGTCAAAGCGGATCCTACAACCCAGGAATGCAGACGTTCCTGGGAGACTTACAGACCAGAGCTTGGAAACCACTTTGCACAAGTGAGCAACTGGGCCTCACACCCCATGCCTGTGAGGTCCCAGGCTCCGTTTTACAGATTAGTAAGCTGAGGCTCAAAGAGGACCAGAAACCTGTCCAGGGTTCTGTGGGCACCAGTGTCTGAACTGGAACTCGAATTCTGACTGGGGAAGACAGTGCTTGGCGGGATAGGGGAAAGGATCCTGGAAGAGGAGCGTTGGTTCTGAAAGCGTCCCATCGTGGGTACCAGTTGTGGGCCCTTGGGCAATGTAATGTCTCTGAACCTCATTTTGCAGATGAAAGTGACATATGCAAATGGCACATCAGCATGACCCCACGAGGGCTGGGAGCTGAGGAAGCAGAGGGTTTGGTGTCCTCCATGACCTCCCACTTCAACCTTTGCACTTGCAATTTACTCTATGAGTCGGTGGAAAGTAGAAGGGGCCCCTTCCGCATGTTGACCACACTTGGAGGGCCTATTTCCCCCTTGGGTCCTTGTGTCATTTCTAAATATCAGTCTCTGCTTGCAGAACTGAGCAGACATTCAACCAGCATTAGACCGAAACGCCCACCCTTTCTTTCCCTGGCTTTCTCTTTGCCAAAACCGGTGCTGCATTGCGGACTGGGGGCTGGAAAGTGCTTTTCTTGCAGTTCTGTGATACACAACATTGTTCTCTTTTCAGCTGTGTGCTCTCTCAGTGCTTTTCAGCTTCCGGAATCATCTTCCAGACCATCTTGGGAAGACCTCTGGGCTAGGCTGCGTGACACAGGAACAGGGAAATTCACCCAGACCCCAGGGGGACCCAGCCAGTGACCCAGATGAGCCTCAGTATGTCAGTTGTTCTGGACTACAGCAGCAGAGGTGTTCCAGATATTTCCCTTCGCCCTGGTGCCTGCCCATTCACTCACAAGCTTCGGACCATTTGAAAATCTCCCACTGACTTTATCTGTCCAACCCCTGGCTCTATCAGGTGTGACTGAGGGCAGAATTAGAAGAATAATGCAATCCAATTATTTTTTTTAAATTACCTCTTCTAAAAATGTCCCCATCTAGGGGCTCTGGACAAGCATTCTGATGGTTCTGAAGTCGGTCCAGGTCCCTGTGGACACTAAGCAACATGCAGCCCCTACTCAACTAATCCTGATTCCTCCAGTCATCAGAGGAAGCATCTTAGAAATCCGAATTCCCTCCAAATAAATGCATTCTGCTGTCCCATGGCAGGCTGGGGAGGGGAGATCTCTTTTCGCTTTCATTATTCAGTCGTTTGCTAAAACCTGAGTCTGAGATGAAAGAGGATGGCGTGGTTTTGTAATCAGCTTGATGTCGTGTGTAGCAAATATGTTCCTAACTGAAAACACCAAGGCAAAGTAAACTGCCCACCTTGTAAGGTGCTGAGCACATCTGTGTTGCTTGTTCGATCTGGATTTAGACAAGTAATTTTTAAGATTTCCTCCTCCACACTGCTCACAAGCATTTTCCTGCTAGAAGCAGTTAGTTGCACACCTGAATACCACTAAAAGGGAGTGGACAAGGAGTAGAGTCTGGGTTAAAGGGGTTCCAGCTCTGACTGATGGGGGAGGATATGGAAGAAGAGATCGTGCTTACAGAGGATGCGTCCATCCAGTCAGAAGGGAAAGCCATGAGCCACCCACGGCCGAACTTTCATGAAGCTGCAGCATCTTTCGCCTGCATGACAGGGGAAGGGGTGTAGGGTGCACTGGGTTTTTCCTAAAAGTAAGGAAGTGTGAAGCTGTAAGCCTGACAGTGTATTTAGATACAAATAGCTTCTCCAAACCAATGTCACCAGGGACCCTGGTGAATTGGGTCATCCCACAACCTTAGCAGGAAATGGGAGGGGGGTTTCAGGGCCCCTGCAGGCTGGCTGCATACAGAAAGAAATGACCCCCAGATTCCAGAAGGCTCCAGATAGAAGGGATTGCAATGAGGGTGCAGATTATCTACCTCACTGACCAAAATGGAAGCCAAGCCCACTTCCTCTTCCTAGTCACTGTGCTGGAAACATTTACAGTGAAAGTTGCCCTTGAACTGAAGCTTAAAGGATGCTGGGAGAGTCTGCAGACAGAGGGTGAGAGGCTTGTTCCAGGCGAGGGAACAGCCTGTGTCAAAGCGCAGAGGCTAAAGGACGCAGGACTCTCAAGTCCTATAGGTGGCTTCTGGGGGCCTAGCAGACCAGTTGTACCTAGGGAGTGAGATGTGGAAAGAGGGACAGCAGGAGAAAAGCCCTGGAGGCTCCCAACTGCCAAGCCCAGGAGTTTGTACTCCGTGCCAATGATGATGGGTGCCATCAGTGAAGGAGGGGAGACGTCACAAGGGTCCCCCAGTTATCACAGAGGGAGGACCGCCAGGAGAAGAGCAGGCTTGGAGAAAGGGACTACATTGAATCTAATATGTCCAATACGGTTGACAGAAGATCTAAGAGAAATGTTGAATTTTAGACTCTACAGCTCACAGTGAGGGGAGAGCCAGAGAAAGACAACTGACATCCTCAAGCGGGTGTGAGATGCCTTGGAAATGAATGCCATTGTCCAGGATCCATCCTCTGAGACGAGAGAAGGGCTGAGAACTGAGCCCTAGAAAATCCACTCCTACACAGTGCCCTGCACGTGGTGGGCCATCGATAAGTGTTTCAGAGGTACATCCATGAATTAATAAGCGAGAAAGAAAGGAAGCTGGGGCTGCCATAACAGAGTACCACAAACAGGGGGCTTAAACAAGAGGAATGGGTTGTCTCCCAGTTCTGCAGGCTGGAAATCTGAGATCAAGATGTCGGTAGGCTTGGTTTCTACTGGGTCCTCTCCTTGCCTGGTGGATGGCTGTCTTCTCTCTGCGTCTTCACATAGTCTTCCCTCTGTGCATGTCTGTGGCCTAATCCCCTCTTCTTATAAGGACACCGGTCATAATGGATTAGGGCCCACCCTGAGGACCACATTTTAATTTAATTACCTCCTTAAGGGCCCTGTCTCCAAATGCAGCCACTTTCTGAAGTACTGGGGTTTAGGACTTCAACATACGGATTTTGGAGAAGACACAATTCAGCCCAGAACAGAAGGGACGAAGAGAGGGAGAGGAGGGAAGAGGAAGATGGGTTATTATTTGAGAGAGCAGCTGAAGAGGGAGCTGATGAAGGAGGGGGACAGATAGAGATAGGAGAGGGGAGGTGGGAGACTGTGCTGTGCCTGGAGGCCCAGTCACCCAGGTCAGCTACCAAAGAAAGGGGCAACTGATGCTAAAACAACAGGCAACCAGAGAAGCGAGAAAATTGCTAATCCTCTCATGCTAACGTGGGGTTGAGAAACGAAGAGGAGTCTGGGAAGAGACACCTCTCCCCTCTGGTGCTTTTCAGACGTTCCTGAATAACAGCCCTTATTGAGCCGGGAGATGTGAGCTGACAGCAGCTTTCACGCCGGAACCTGCCAAGAGGCCCCCCGCCCAGCCCTCAGCCCCCATCACACCCCTCAGCCTATCCTCGTCTCCCGGCCCCACCCTCCTGTGCAGTGTGGGTG